TGTTTTCCTGTTTGTCTAGACCTTCCTGCATAGAAAGGATAGAAGAGACAGGCCTATAGCTCTACCCCAGGAGTTCTCAACCAGGGGCGACTTTGCCTCCCAGAAGACATTTGGAAATGACTGGAGACATTTTTGGTTGTCATGAGTGGGGGATGCTACTGGCATCTGGTTGGAAGAGGTCAGGGATGCTGCTGAACATCCGGCAAAGTACAAGATGCCTCCACAAACAAAGAACTGTCCCGCCCAAATGTAAACAGGGCCAAGGCTGAGAAACCCTGCTGTGTGCTGAGGTTTTGTGATGCCTCCTGGGCTCAAAATATCAACAGGTAGTAAGAATAGTGAGGAGACTCCTGCTCCAGCAAGGCTGCTGAACCTCGGAGTGCCCCCAGGAAAATTGCTTACCTCCTGGAAGGCTTGGCAGCCACCACAGTTTGCAGGTAGATCTGAATTTGAGATTCAGCACCTCCACTCATTTGCTGTAAGATTGTGGGCAAGTCCTTAACCTCTCTGAGCCTCCATTCCTTCCCAGCAAAGTGGAGATAAAAGACTTGCCTTGTTGTATTGATCAAATGAGAAAACATGTGAAAGCTCAGTGCCCGGCACTTCTTGGCATCCCCTTGGATGTCAGTTCCCTTTCCTTCCTGACTGGAATGTCGGGGTAGAATGGGTTTCCTCTGACATGTTCACTTAGGGCATAAACTCTTGAACCTTGTGCCTTGTTTCCCTTGGGGACAGCAGGACACCTGGAGATTTATGTAGGAGCTCAGGCCCAGTTTGAGGACACTTGAGGGCTGGTCCCTTGGCCTGGACCCAAAAACCGAGGGGCAAATGGAAGGCACAGGTCATATTGCAGCTCTCGGTCAGTCTCAACCAAGACGCCCACTGGCCTCTTCCTCTCTCCACCACCTGGCACGGCCTGTGCCACCTTTTGGCACTAAGGATAAATCTGCTTCGTGACTACTCTCATCTGAGACTTCTATTTATAACCCTTCGTACATGAAACTTACCAGACTTGCAGGTCTTGGGCTAGAAGCTCCTTGAGTCACCGTTCTTTACAATGTGGGCCGCAAAAATCAGAAGCAAAGGATATTCAAGCCAGAAATTGATAGGTGAGTAAAGAAGACTTAATAGACGCGGTGGACCTGGAGCCCCAGCTCTCAGATCCGCAAGCCACTGCTTTTCCCGTAAGGCTGAACTACGATACTTATCAGCCACCTCTCTGTGAGCAAGGCTGGGCTAGGCATGAGCGGGGATGAGCCTCACTAGGTATTCACTGAAGGAAAGAGTTTTAAGGGAAATAATCCCATTTCTCATCCGCTTTGCCCGAGCGCTAGAGATGTGATCCCAGTGGCCCTTCTTTAAATCATCTCAGTGCAGTGTACATGGTGGGCTGGTTGAATGAATGACAGGGAAAATGGACAGAACAGGTAGGGCGATGAATGTGGGTGCAGTGGATAGGTGGGTGCATGAGCAGATAGGAGAATGAAACAAGAAATGGACTTCCTCGTTTCTGGGAACCAACTGCAAGGAACATGTATTCGGTCTGTAATTGTGTATGGCCCCCACTTCAGGGAAGCATTATTCCAGTTCAGACCCCACCTCTGGGAGCTGTGACACACAACGGGACAGAGCCAAGCACAGGCAGGGCAGATAGAGTGGGAGGAGGTGATGTGGAACCCAGCAGGAATGGAGAATGTGGGAGGGGCAGACGGACTGGGGTGACTATGTGCTCAACAACACGTTTGGAGGTTCCTAAGAGTCCCATATGAAATGCTGCTGCCATGTCAAAACCCCTCTGTGGAGTTCTCTTTGGTTTGTTCCAGTCTCAACTGCCTTCTAGGAAGGATTCCTGCCTTCCAGCCTGAATTGTACACATTGTCTTCCCACTCCCAATTCCCCCTGAGTCAGTATCTACAAAGAGAGATGAGCTTTTGGAAGACACTGGTTCTTGGGTTCAGCTATGAGTGGCTGTTCCATGGAATAGAACCACAAGTTGGAATGGCCCTTAGAGATCATCTCCACAGTAGGCCATTTTACAGATGGGAAAACCAAGGTCTAGATAGGAGGGAAGACTTCCCAAAGTTATATGGCAAGTGAGTTGCAAAGGAGACCCAAGCCTCCTGATTCTCACCCCACCTTATGAATTCATTATTGCTCTTCCCCTGCCCACTCAGTGGCCCCCATGCCCTACCAGGCCTGTTAGGATCTTTGCTTCCCTGGGGGTGGTTTCACTATTTCTTCTGTTTCTGTCCTCATTGGAGATGGAGGAAAAGGTTGAACCCTCTGGAAATTCTGGTGGTTCCCTCCTCAAATCCCCTCCTTGGGACACTGTGCTGCCTGGTCTGGCTCCCCAACCTCCCTGTCCGTACCTGAGCTTGACCACATGCAGCAAACACTTGACCAGGTAAAGAACCGGCAGTGTGAGCTCCAAGAAGAGCAGGGAGAACATAGACTGGGGACAGAAGGGAAAGGAGCAGAGGGGCTGGGACTGACAGGTACCGATCACCCACCATCCACCAGGCACTGTGCTGGGCAGTTATGACATCTCACCTATTCTCACAACCCCACGAGATGGGGAGTGTTATTCCTGTTTCACAAATGAAAACACCAAGGCCTAGAGAAGTGGCTTGGCTTGTAGAGCTGGTGAGCAGGGAGCCCAAGGTTAAAATCCAGGTCTACTGGACCCCAAAGCCCTTGCTGGGTCCTGAGCCCCCAGATGATGTGCTCTGTCACAATGCTGTCAAGAGATCTCAGGAGCCACCCAGCAGGAGTGACAAGGTCAAGGGCTTAATGCAGAGTCCTGCACTTAAATTAAAAAAGACAGCGGCACAAGAGTGCAATGGAGTTCTGGTTACTAGACAGCAGCTCATCATCTTGTCCCCGTTCACAATGCGTCTGTTACTGCCTCATATTTCCACAGCACTCAGAGTTTAGAAAGTCCTTTCACTTAATGATCTTAGGGTTTTGACTGACCATAAACAAATATAAAAGTCTGAAAAAGGTTTAGGGGGTGTACCAACAGGGTGCATGCAGAGCAGTGTGCTGGGGCTGCCTGTAAAGCTAATGAGATATTTATTTGCATTAATCCAGTTTAATATCAATAGGTTTTGTGCACAGCCACTGTGCTAGAGGTATCACATGTTTTATCCCATTTAACTCTCATGCAACCCTATGGAGTTTGTATTCCTGTTTTACAGATCAGAAAACTAAGAAGTGGAGAAAGTTGACTGAGGTCACACAGCTAGTAAATAACAGAATTCAGGCTCAGGTATGATAATTATCTAAAAAGAAAAAAGTCATTCTGGACAGTTCAGGCCCCCTCTGGAATCACGTGTCCAGTTTGGGGGTTATATTTAAGGGAGACATTGACACAGAGAGAAAAGAAGAACCCACCCATGAGGGACACGGTCACTCTAAAGATGATTTGAAGGAGCTGAGAATATTTATCCCAGAGAAGAAAATCATCAGAGAACATACAACTGCTGTTTTCAAGGGTAGAAAGCTCCTCTGCTTAGAAACATGTTAGGTTACCACGAGATTAACCGACCATTTGTTGGTTAAGTTCAAAGGGACATACTATAGCCAACTGCTATCGCCACCTGCTGGTGGGAGGTAATATTGATGTGCTGATTGCAGCTCGCATAACTGTTCCACCCATAGAAGTCTGAGTTTAACTTTTCATATACAGAAGAAGTGCTTTTAAACCTGATGGTTGTCATGTGTAAGAGGTAGCAGATTACCTTTAGGGGAAGAGAATTAGAATCAACGGCTAAAAATCACAAGGGGGGTAGATTTTGTTTCCAAAAAGAAGGTTAATTTTCTGATAATTGAAACATCCCAGTAACTCAAGGGACTGCCTGGGAGTAATGAGATTCTTGTCTGTGGAAGAGACCAAGTCGTGCTCTACCTCCCATCTCTGGGATGAATGGGAGAAATTAATCGCAATGTTTTGGTGAGTCTCAGGCATTCATGGCTTACCTATTCTGAGTTACAGTTGGTCGTTTGGGTAGGGGTCTGCCAGGGTTGAGAGTGTCTTGTTTGTCTTATCCAGGGAGGAACTTAGATTAGACTAGAAGGAGGGAGGGTACCATGGAGGCAGAGCAAAAGGGGGAGGTATTTTGGACAGGTGGAGTCTGGTAATATATATCTTTCAGATATGGCCCTGACACTTGCCCAAGGAACAGTCAGAGAGGAGTGGTTCAGTAAATAAATGGTCATGACCTTCCATCACTTCCTGAACTGACCTCCCACACAGGGCCATTCATAAACAACCCAAGGGAACAACAGTTCCTTGTATATTCTGCAAATGTGATGAAGGCTCTGCTGGAGACAGAGGTTCAGAGTGTAGACAAGGGCAGGGACCAGTCAGGTAGGACCAGTCTGGGGCAGGGCTAGATAGAGGACTGTGGCCTGAGAGTTTTCTCATCAAAGCCCTACGTGGATTTGGGATGCAGTCGAGTGAGTTTATGGAACAGGGGCTGTGAAATCAGAGAAATTCTAGCTTGAATCCTAGTGTAGTTACATATTAGCCTTGTGACCTTAGATTGATTTCTTCTCTGAGTCTCAGTCTCCTCATCTGTAAAATGGACACAGTGACTGCACCCTGGTAACCAGATAGGTATAGAATTAAATGAGACCTCCCACTGGGTGCAGTGCCTGGGGCACATAGTATATCATCATCATCATCATCATCATCATCATCACCATCATCATCATCATCATCATTATTATTATATTAACCTGTCGATGAGAATTAGCCTCACCTTCCTGTACATTCCCCATTTTGTGTGACCATGGACCCTGGTCATGGGCTTATTTAATACTGAAATCCCCCTGCTGGACTGCACTTGGTTAACAAGAATTGCTGGGGCCCCACACATGAAAACACCCACATCCTTGGCCGTCGATGTTCCACCACCCTCCCTCCCACCTTCTCTGATGTGGCAGGAACAGAGATGCAGTTGAGAGCCCTCAGTTCTTAGATGAGGCAAGATATGTTCCGGGATTACTCCGTGTTCTCTCAGGAAGAAGAGTAGCCGGGCCCATCTGAAAGGGAGTCACACCTGGAACTCGGCACCCAGGCGGTCACCCTGAAGGACCTGCAGAGGAGCCTGTGTCCTGCTGGCCTTAGGCGGCTCCATTACTGGCCAGTATGTGTCTGTGTGTGCATGTGTGCGGTTTCTGTAGTGGCTGGGCATGGACTCCCCCGGATGTGTACCAGGGAGCAGGTGGTGCAGAGGGAGGGAAGGTACAGGCTTTGAAGTTTGCAAAGCTGGGTTTGTACACCAAGCCTGCAGCTTCCAGGCCATATGAGCATGGAAAGTCTTAGAGTCCTCATTTGAATCAAGGGGAGGAGAGAAACTAGTTTACATGGCATTTGCTAATTAAATCAGAGGGTGGATTAAAGCATATCCGGCACAAGGTCTTGGCGTGTGGCAGGCACTCGGATGGTGGCTTCGGTCATTTTTGTGCATGTTGGCTTAACGGGGGATGTGTCCGTGGTCGGGTTTGGTTTATCTAGGGATTATGCCATGTCTCTCTCCTGAAATGACCTTTGATCAGTGGCCACCTGTTTGCCTCTCTTCTCTGTTTTTAAAAGGAATTGCGAAAAGGCATTATTGGTGAGTCTTCTCAGCTTGATGTTGGTGAGGACAGAAGCAGACAGTTTAGGCAAATACTTTAAAACTCTTTACGTGCTGAGATGGGGAATGTAGGGGGAGGGGAGGGTCAGGCACCTCTCCTTGGGAGTGGGAGCAGGGTAGGGGGGTGGGGGGTTAGGGAAGGCTTTTATTCCATATTCTCATATTAGTCCGTATTTATTTTTATGGAAAGAATTTGTTTTCCTTTTTTGAGCTCCAGATCCACCTGTCTCTAATTAGTTCAGCAAACATTTACTAGTACCCACAAAAATACTAAGAATTGCCATTTACTGAGCACTTAAAAGCACTTTCCATACTTAACCTCTAACCCTCAGTTCCCTTGGGAAAAGCTACCTCATTTTACTAACAGCCAACCAAGCTGGGAGAAGTTCAGTTACTCACCAAAGTCCTGCCGCCCGGCAAAGGTGAGAGGAGCCAGACTCATTATTAGGGGAGGCAGATAGATGTGAAAGAGAACCAGAAACAGTCACTACCTCAAGGACCTGACAATGCACATGGAAAGTTAACTTCCATACACAGCAACTGAGCCACAGGCTGGGGTGGTGCTTCTTTGCAGAACGCTGCCAGTGGCAAATGGAGGGCAGGATGGCTAATTCTGTCTGGCCGGAAGTCTTCCTGGAGGTGACTGGGCTGAGTCTTGAAAGCTGTGTTCATTTTGGAGGTGGGGGAAAGGTATATAGCTCAGTGGTAAAGTGCATGCCTAGCATGCACAAGGTCCATGAGGTCCTGAGGTCAGTCCCCAGTCCCTCCGTTAAAAATAAATAAATAAACTGAATTACCCCCACCCCTCCCTGAGAAAAACCAAACCAACCAACCAAACAAACAAAAACCATTTTGGAGCTGGAGAGCTGGCAGTGTAGCATGACTGGCCAAGTCAGGCCTGTTTAAGGTGGTCGGGTGACAGGAAGCCCAGCCAGGATGGGAGGTTGGCTGGTGTGGGGAGATCCGGCAAAGCCACACCTGGAGGGGTCCTTGAGGGAGCCTGAGGATCTGGTCTTTGGGAGGAGGGGACAGACAAAGCTGGGGGGGGGGTTTTAGACAGAGCCCCACGGCTTCAAGGAGGGCAGAGAAAGTAAAGGCAGAGCCATCCTGTGGTCGACAGGGCCTGGCCTGTCCATATACGGTCATTCTGAGGATCCTGTTGGGGACTTGGAGGGGTCGGGGGACAGGCCCACAACCACCAGAGCCCCTAGCCTGGTTGCAGATGACCTGACCCCAGTGGAGCAATGCTGACCCCTGTTTCCATCGTGAGCTGGCCGAGCCGAGAGGGCTGCAGCCCAGAGGTGAGGACTCTCAGCAGAGGCCCACTGTGAGGACCGGGGAGGCCAGAGCCTGGGGCAGCAGCCGAGACAGCAAAGACCAGGAATGGCGTGGGAGGATGGAGTGGTCCATTGTCCCAGCAGTTTGGCAGAGGAGCCAAGAGTCTGAAACAGAGGGTGGAAACAGCCAGGGAAGGGCTTTCACTGCCAGGCATAGAAGGGTAGATCCTGGGGAGACGATTGTTTTTTGAGCCCAAGAACGCTGTGATTAAGACCACAATCTCTCTCTGTCTCTCACCAGAATGTGAACTTCTGGAGGCCAGGAATTTGTCTTTTATTTCACTAGTATCCCCAGCACCGAGCGCAGCATCAGTCACTGAGTAGATGCTAGACTATATCTGTTTATTGAATACATTCACCCACAGTATACAATGTTTATGGCTACATACCTATGTAGTAAACATTTTAAAACTTTGAGGAAAAGAATACACAGTAATGGTCAAGGTAGTGGTTACTTTGGGGAAGGGAGGAAATGGCATTGAAATGCAATAGGAAAGGAAATTCAACTGTTTTTTTTTTTAAAGCAAACTGAAGAAAATATGATTGCAAACCTTTGTTGAATCTGAGTGGTTCATACATGATCTATTACATTATTATTCATAATTTGAAAATATTTCTTACTTTTAAAAAGAAAACAAATTTATGCACAAATATTTTGTTAAATGTATAGAATATTTCTTCTGCAGAAGATGGAATGACTGTGGTGAGGCCTTGTGGCTTCTTAGGATTACAAATAGACCTGGATAATCCTTCCCTTGATGGAGATCCTTCGTGGGCTTATAAATTGTCAGCCACTCTCAAGCAGAGAAGCAAAGCCTGATTTGTTTCCCTTCTTTTCTTGTTGCCTGTGGTTCAGGGTAATTGTTTGTAATATCATTACTTAGAATGTAATTCTTGGAAGAGGATCTCAACACTTGTTTCTCGTCATGTGACATCATACCTCCTGACTCACTCCTCAAGTACAAGACGACAGGATTGTGAATTTTGATTCCTCTTGGTGTCAGGGGAAGAAGACACACTGTGCACTCAGAGACTGTTTGGGTCCAAGCCCCACATCTTCTTAGCTGTGTGACTTTGGTCCATTCACTCAACCACTCTGAACCTCAGTTTCTCAGCCGCAAAATAACGTGATGATTGAGAGGATTAAATGAGGTGGTAGATGTCATGTGTGAAGGCACCTATGACAGCCTGGTGTGGGGGAGATGCTCTCTTCCCACTGAGGGTTTTGTACAACCGACCTGTGTTCTCTCTCCTCTTGCTGCACCCCCCACCCCACCCCAAACCATGCTCATCCTTCAAGGCCCGTTCAAATTTGTCTCCTTGAAATATTCTTCACAACCCAATGGCTCATGTTACTGACTATTTAATAATCATATAATCAGTTTTTTCACCTGATTTTTTCTCCCCTCCTTAGATTGTAAAGCTTCTGAAAGCAGGAATACCATTTCAGGCATCATTGTAGGGTGGCCAGAGTCCCACTAGCATGAGACGTAGATGCCTGGGGTTCAATTCTAGTAATAAACTTGGAGCTCCAAGTAGCACCAAGGACTTCAGTTTATCAGTAAAATGGCAACAATAACCTGCCTCATACAGTTTTTAGAAGATCAGTTTAGACATTCTGTGCAAAACATAGTTAAGAAGAGTTTAATAAATATTGTTGAATGAACTGAAACTGCTTTGAAAAATGAAGTTCTTCACAAATGTCAGACCTGATTTTTAATTCCTCATAAGGTATAATAAAAAGAACTTGTGTTTACTTGCTGGTAAGAGAAACTGCATGCTTAAATCTTTTCTCCAGTCATCCAGATGAAGACCAACAGAGGCACCATACAGGGATGATCAAACTTACTCTGGCTTTAAACAAAATTTCATCTTCCTTCTCACCAGGTCGAGATGACCACAGCCACCCCTTTGGGGGGTACCACCTTCTTCTCATTGAACATGACCACCAGAGGAGAAGACGTTCTGTACAAGAGTAAGGTCAACTTGGCTGGGTGGCCAGGGGAGGGAGGGTGGGACAGGTATCCTGGTCAGCAACTGGTGTAGAGGGCAAGAGGTGGGCTCTGGAGACAAGCTGCCTGGGTCTCAGTCTCAGTGATACTGAGTGACCCTGAGCGCATGACTTCACTGATCTGGGACTGTTTCCTTATCTGTAAGTTGGGGGTATTAACACAGCTGCCACATAGGTAGGCGTGAGGGGTAGAGGGGATAATCCACGTAAAGAGCTTAGAAGAGCCTCCGTGCATGTGCAGCATACAAGTACCTAATGAGTATTATTATTACTACTACTTTACTATTATTTTCATTAGAGAGTTTGGGGGTTTAGAGGGCAATGGAAATTTGAATTTCATGTAAAATGTTCCTACATAAGTCACCTTAAAATTGCAGCTACGTTTTTTTAAACATCTTTATTGTGGTAGGAGTCCTATACAGTAAACTACACGTATTTCAGATGTACAATTTGATGAATTTTGATAGATGTATACACCAAAATGCAACTACCTTTGTATTATTTTGGCAAAGCAAAAACATCCCATTAATTTACAAAGGAGTAAATGAATGTGTGGGATGATTTAGTCCTGGGGAGACATTTGCCAGGAACAAGGGGTCCCCAGAAGGAAACATTTGAGGACCACTCTTCAGAAAACCAATTGATTGTATTGGGTGAAGTTTGGGTCCATTTCAGTCATCTCAGGTGACTTGGTACACACCTCTGTGAATGCAACAGGCCTCCCGACTCTGTGTTCACTGTGATGAACAGTGAGAAACAGCTCCAGGCTGTAGTCCTGGCAGGAAGCTGGATTAATGGCAGGACGTGTCTCTTCCACGGAGACCCAGGAAGGGTCGCTCTTGAGACAGGGTCCCACGTGTTAGGCCGCTCTTTGCTGGGTGAGGGGCCCTGACAAAGTACGTCTCAAAACATTTTTGAAGGGAAATGCAGGGTAGAGAGAATCACTGTCAGCAAGAGGAGAATTAATACTGCTTTTATTTAACTAAAAGTCATGGTTCGCAACTAGGCAATTTTGCCCCCTAAATAGGGTTGCCAGATTTAACAAATAAAAATACAGGACACCAGTTAAATTTGAATTTAAGGTTAAGCAATGAATGATTTTTTAGTATAAGAATGTACCATGCAGTACTTGAGACATACTTAAAAATTATTCATTGTTTGTCAAAAATCAGAATTTAGATGGGTATCCTGTATTTTATCTGGCAACCCTACCACCAGGGGACATTTGGCCATGTCTAGAGACATTTTTGGTTGTCACACCTGGTGGGGAGTGGGAAGAAGTGCTGTTGGTATCTAGTGAGTAGGGGCCAGAGATGCTCTAAACACCCTGCAATGCACAGGACAGCCTCACAACACCGAGTCATCCAGCCAAGGCTGAAAAACCACTGGGCTCCCCAGGAAGGAAAGAAAAACAAGTTACTCCATAATGGATTTCCCACCCTTTCCCTTTTTTCCTCCCAGTCTTTCTTTCTATGAATAATTGCACAATTTTTTAAGTAAACCTTTTATAAAAAAAACATTACATATATTTGAAAAAGTACACAAATTATAAGTGTACAGCTGGATAATTTTCACAAAGTGCACACAGCTGTGTCACCAGCCCCCAGATTAAGATGCAGGCCACCCTCAGTGTCACAGAAGTTCTGGTGCCCCTTGCAATCACTATCCCTGACCCCTCACTCCAGGGGACCCATCATTCAGACTTCTGCCACCATACATTAGTTCTACCTGGTTTTGAACTTTGTATAAATGAAATCATACCATGCACACTGTTTTGCATCTGACTTCTTTTGCTTAATGTTATGTTTGTTTGCACATATTTTAATGGTTGCAACATAATGTGTATGTGTGTATATAATATATTCTATTTTCCATATTTTATATCATCTAAAGTGTTCCATATACCATAGTCTTCAAGTCTTTATTATCATTATTTAAATTATAGTATAATATTTCTATGGGATAAGTGTGCCATAGCTTACTTAACTATTCCCATATGAAGAATATTAATAATGTAATAAACATTTTCATTCATACAGGTTTTTTTCTGTATTTGGGATGATTCCCTGTGATCAATTCCCCAGAATCAAACAGATTGGTTTGAAGTATGAATCTTTTTAAAATGATTCTTGATGTTTTCAATATCAATTCTGGCAAGGATACTGATCTTGAACCTAAACCTAAAATGAGAGTTTGACTTTGGGATTGGCAGCTGATATTGAAATTAGAATCTGAGATATTAAGCTACAAGGACATTCATCATAGCCTTGTTTTTAATAGTGTAAAATTGAACACAACATGAATGTCCTCAACAAACAATTGGTAAACAAATTATGGCACATCAAAATGATGGAGTACCATACAGCCTTCAAAAGTCATAAAGAAAAATACATAATTACATAACAAGATGATCAGGATGTTTTGTTATAAAACAGTACATGGAAATGATTCCATCTTTATCAAGTGCATATTTTTCCATATTTGTGAATACTTCCTTAAGATGGATTTTCAGACATAGGATTAATAAGTTATTCAGAAAGATGATAGATATTTAATATGAGTATGTGCAAAAACATGACCACATTTGTGAATGGAGACATGTAGACTATCAGTGGTCCTTGGGGAAGTGAGGACTTCATCCTCCCCTTCTTTTTGGCCTGTATTTACATTTTCAAAATTATCTACAAAAATCACATATTACTTTAACATGATCAAAAAGAGGGAAGGGTGTTTTGCTGGCCTGTTTCACAAAAGAAGTTTGAAGCTATGTTGGGGCTGATAAGACCAGGACTTGGCCAAAGGCAAACTTTTGTCAGGTAATGTGCTAAGGATGTGGCCCTCCAAGCCCCACGGGGGTAGAGGTGCACTGCAGCTGTAGATGTGACTGTCCTGGGGACAGCAGCGAGTGTCCCAGGACATCGCATTCCCTCCTCCCCTTGACCCAGCGAGGATGTGAGGTGCCACGGTACGGGTACCCCTCAGTCTCCAAATCCTTCCCTGCATTTCAGTTGGCACATTTGCCGTCTCCACTCCTCTCTTCCTGGTAGGTTCTGGAGCCATTGTTGCTGCCATTGTGGTGGTTGTCATCATCATCTTCACCGTGGTTCTAATCTTGCTGAAGATGTACAACAGGTACGGGATGCCCTGGGATTTGGAGCTGTCTGGTCCCTTCAGTGATGTCAGAATGGGTGAATGATGTCAGAATGAGTCCATCATCAAACGCACTAACCCTCTGTGGGTCCTTTTTTGATGTCTGTTCTGCTAGAAGAACTTGACAGTGACCAAATACTTTTGTACTTGGAGAAATATTTTTGAAAATATCGTAATGATAATGACCTTGAGCTCTGTGGTAAACTCTTGTATGTAATTTACAGATAATAGAGGAATGTTTTAATCCTCTTCTTTTGGGGAGCCCTCTGCTAGGTTGTACTGAGTGAACCACATAAGTATTTGAGGTGACAAACCCTAGAATGTACGTACTCACAACTTTACTTTCTGGAGCCAAATAAGAGGAAATAAAATAATAGGAATTGATCACAGAAAGAAGAAATGTTGTGATATCACCTTGAGTGTTATCATCTCTAGTCACAACTTTGCTAGAAGGTTATTCTTTTCGGGGAAGAAATGAAAATTAAAAAACTAAACACAATCGCACCACCGAAGACCTGGAAGCCATTGAAAAAAAAGATATCATAAAAAGGTATTTATTGATGTGGAAAGCTGTTGACAACGTATTGTCAAAATTTACAAAGCAGTATGTACATCGTGATCATACACGTGGGTTACACACATCACCACCCCAGGAAGGCGCAAATGACACACAGCAAGGTGTTAACAAGCAGTATGTCTGCATAATGGCATTGCTAGTAGGTTAGTTGGTTGGTTGGTTTTTGCAGGGTCAGAGGGTGTGCATCTCCATTCATGCATTGTTTTTGTAATAATATGAATGTTATGTATAAAGGTAGCTAAGAGTTACTGTTCTCCTACTATGTGCTGAGCATGGTTCTAATCTCCTTACGTGTATTAACTCAATTAATCTTCATAATAACCCCACAAGATGGGTACTTCTCTATCCCCAGTTTTATAGACGTGCAAGAGGCACAGGAAGATCAAGTAAGATGCCCAAGTTTACTCAGCCCTAAGTGGCAGATTTGGGATTCAAACCCAGTCCATCTGGTTTCAAAGAAAATACTTCCACCAGTAAACCAGTATATAATAATAATAATAATAATAATAATAATAATAATAATAATGATAATAATAATAATAATAATAATAATAATATTTCAGACATCAGTTTTTAAATCTTTGGGGTATTACAATTTGGGTCTGTTCTAAACCAGGAAGTGGCGTCAGACCCCGATGTCTGCCCTCCATTCCTCTCCATTATTGCTGGAGCTCTGAGCCCCTCTTCTAGTTTGTAATTTGAATAGAGACTCCACTCACCCCTCCCTGTTTAGAGTGACGCCTGCGCTGGGAACTGAGAGACCGGGGTTCTGTCTTTGGTTTGTCAAAAGCAAGCGAGTCATTCACCCTTTCTGTGCCTCAATTTTGTCATCATTAAAATAGAAGGATCTCCACGTGTGATCATCATGTCATGGTTACACTGAAGAATGCCCTTGTTCTCAGGAGTGAAGTGGCATGTCTGCAACGAACTCACAGATGGTTCACAATTTTTAAAAACTCTGTGTATGTGTGTGGGTGTGTAAATAGGGAAAGGGAAATAAATCAAGTGTGGCAAATTGTTAACAACTTGTTGACTTCAGAGAAGGGTATGCAGGCATTAATTGTACAATTTGTGCAACTTTTCTGAGGATTTGAAATTTTGAAAAAAGACATGATAGGTCAACAAGATGAAATTTCACCTGGACACTAGACTTACTGATTGTTGTTAGCCCCTGAATTTTATGCCACATGAAATGAAACCTAGGATGTCCCTTGTAAGTACATTCTCTTCTCAGCTATGTGAAAAGTTCTTAAATATTTCCAGCAGCAAACTCAGCAAACATCATGAGGCTGCAAAATGTAACTTACAACTCTGAACAGAAAAAAACATAGTATCTTCGTTTGGTCATTAATAGCCATTTATCTGACACTTTGCTCATTCATTAATAGGAAAAAATAAAATTAAGTACCTAACCTAAGTTAAACAAAAAACTGAAGGGACAGACTAGCTGGTCTAAGATCTCTTCTAGCTGTAAAATGCTGTGGTTGGCAATTAAGCAACATGATTTAATGACAATCTACATTAATCTCCCCGCTGAAGCTATAGTCACAGCCCGTTCCCCAGGACATACAGGGGGATGACTTAACCGTGTGTGTGTTTCATTATAGGAAGATGAGGACAAAGCGGGAGCTGGAACCCAAAGGCCCCAAGCCAGCGTCCCCTTCTGCCCTGGACCCAAACAGCAACAGCAGCCAACACCCTGCAACTGTGACCTTCAGCCCTGTTGAAATCCACGTGGAGACTCGGTGACACCCACCCTGGAGCTGTCTCGGCCACTATCCAAAGAGCGTTCAGTCAAGACCAAGAAGCGCATTTCTCCTCCGGCAGCTTCATTCTAAGTTCCTTCCAGTCAGGTCAACAGGGGCATCTCTTATGCGATTCCTGATGCTTCAGGCAGCCCCTAACCCCGTCCTGCCCTGCCCTGCCCCACCCCAACTCGGTCCATATCCCTCCTGCCACCCTTCCAAAAAACTGTGGAACATTCTTTCATCATCTGAGGAGGTAGAGCTATGTTGGGAATCCACTGATGTGGGTTTGGTGGTCTCCCCCCAAACACAATAGCTAGACAGACAGGCAGACAGGCAGACAGACAGCCCAGGAGTCTTCTGGTCTGGAGTCAGGGGTCAGGGCATGTTCCTGAGAGAGTGTGCCCTGGGATTATATCAGAGTAAGGACCATATCCACAGCTTTGCGGAGCAAAATATTCAAGCCCACAGTCAGGCATTGGGGAACTAACTTGGACTAACTAGCCAGAAAACCAACTCGCTAATTTAGAACTTGTTTTAGTACTAGATGACCGCTAGCACCACATGACGACTGGTCAGCACATTTCCCTCTTTAGGAAAGGTTATGGGAAGAACTGGAGTCTTCTCCAAAGGCATCTAATTCTTTAGTGAATAGTCAGATAGAAGGCATAGGATGACCCTGAGGAAGGAAGAATGGCTTCTAGGTTGAAAGCTTGTTGCAGTGTCCATGGGCCTGGAATGAGCCTGGCGACTGGTCAGGGTCCTTCTTCCCCCTCCCCGCCCCGGGGGCTGGATTAACCTTGACTCAGTCTCACTTCTCGCCTTCCTGATATTTGGACTTGAAGCAGTCCTCAGTCTTCAGTTATCGCCTTGCCTCCAAGGTCCTTGGAGACTGATTAGATTAGAGTTCTATTTGTGTTACCTCTGCCCTTCCTGGTCACCTTGCAAAGATTCAGGACATACTCAGAATACCACATTCACAAACCATTTCTCTGGACAGAGATCATCTCTTTGACTCCTTAGCCTGGAGAACAATCTATTAACAGGGGAAAACATTTGGGGATTAGGAAGACTTGCCTTCCAAGCCCCATGGTTGTGTGGCTCGGAAAAGTGCTTTGACCCCTCTGTATGCTGTTTCCTAACCATAAAATGGGAATAGCATCTGCCTCACTGGGTACCAAGTCAAGGACTTAATAAAGCAGCTTGGGTGGTGCCTGGCACCCAGCAGATGCTTTAAAAATGGGAGCCAGCATTATTATTATGAATTTCTTCTATTGTAAGACATACATGTATTCCCATTTTAATGAATCTGAAATTAGAATATGTCTTAAAATTGATGAGTCCATTCATGAGGTTGCCTTTTTTTTTCTCTCTCAAAAAGCTGATTTTAATCAATTGTATGTTTTACAATTGAAGACATCTTGGATACAGGTAATAAATCTGTATTCTGTTAGAGAAAGTGACACCCTCTGACACTCTACTTTAAATTCTAGGAGTCTCTCTTTCTTGGGGTTAGAAGTCCTTTTTGAGGGAAAACTGAGGCTTCAGAAAGTAAGAAGCCTGACCGAAGGTCATACAGTTCATGCCATCCCATTGCAAAAGTGCTCCCTTGACTGTGGAGAAATACTGGCAAGTTCTTTTTCCTCAGACTTCTTTTCTCCTAACTGTGTTTAAATATCCACCAAGCACCAGATACTTTGCAAAGTGCTTTCCCATAAGTTATCTCATAGGATCTATTTTCCTCAATAACCCTGGAAAGTATTATTTTTTCCATTTGCCAATAAGAGTTTCAAACTCAGAGAGATACACTCTCCTAAAGTCACACAGCTAGCAAGTTGCAAAGACAAGACTCAAACCCAGGCCTCTTTGACTCCAAAGTCCATCTTTTGGTGATGTCACACTCTTCCCTAACATCCTGGCTCAAAGAACGTGGATTTTTTTGTGAGACGAACAAGAGGAGGACAGGCTTGTCCGTGTGTCCGAGTGGAGGTCGGCGGGTCTAGCTTCCACACCCAAAGTGGAGCAAAACCACTTTGGTAACCTCCTTTGAGCCTCCGATTGTAGCCACAGGGGCCCTTTCTGAACCCATTCAGGCTCTTAGGAGTCCTGCATCATTCCTCCTACCACTAAGGCCAACGAGCAAAGAATGAGATGGCCTCGAACCAGAACAAAGCCATTTAATGACTCAAACCCCAAATAGATATGTTTCCCAAATGTATTCTTCTTTTAAAAAAAAATTGTTTGGAATGTTCTAGCCCTAAAACCAAACTCTTCTGCCCACAGTGGACTCTTCCTGGAATGACTAGAGGAAGTACCCTCTAGTATACGTTCTTTTGCTAAAGAAAGCTTGGAAAGGAAAGAGGGGGAGGTAGAGAGGTGGTCAGGGAGGCAAAGAAAAGGGTGATAGTGTTTTGTTTTTGTCTAATGAAGATAACTCAGTCATCATCCTTTAAGGGCTCCTGTGTCCAAGTGAGGTGCTACTAAACACAGTAAGCCGTGGCCCCTGCTCTCACAAAGCCTGCAGCTGGCCTCCTGAGGCAGGGGTTGTGCAACACTGTCATTACCACGTTTCTGACAGGTGCCTTTCCTAACCAAGCAGGTGCTGCCTTATTGGGTCACTGAATCAGTAAATGATACTAAATGCTTAAAGAAAAAATGCCTAAAAATAAAAAGGTTTAAATCAAACATTTGTTTAGTTGATTTCAATTAAGTTCAGAGCTGACAGGTACCTCTTCTAAAAACTTCCTTTCCCTGACAGTACAAATAGGGCGCTGCAGGAAAGCCGGAGCTGTCTCAAACGTGGCGTTCTCCCTTCTACAGGATGGAGGAAAAGTGGGTTGCCATCAACAGACCTTTCCGTGAGGTAGAAACCTTGCTAACTTGATTAAAGTTTACCAAAGGAATCCTATCACAGCCTGCTGTGACCATCAGGCATGTTGAGATGCCAAGATCTGGGGACTCCCAAGACTGTGGGAGGCATTAGAATGGAACCCAAATCACCAATAACGATGTTTCCCACTAACTAAGCTCCTACTGGGCGCCAGGTATATACTGAGCCCTTTCTACCCACCAGCTCCTTTAACCATTACCATTAGCCATCCTTATTTCTATTTTTGGGGTGAAGAAACAGGTGCAGGGAAGTAGCTTGTCCTTCGGTGATGGCAGTGAACATTTGTCCTTCTTTTGGACATATTGAGTTCATTTGGCTAGTGTAAGAATTAAATGGACACAAGACAGATTAACAAGAAGGAAAAAATTAATCATATGCACAGAGGTCTCATAGAAATGGGAAATGGGACCCGTGAAGTGACCAAAGCAGGCTGTTTATGCAAGTATCAGTTTCAGACAAAGAAACAATTATTTGTGAAGGTTTAGCAAAGCAAAGGGGCTCAAGCTTTGGGTAGCAGACTAATGAAGAAGTAACAATGTTTGTATATACAGCCGTCCTAGCCTTGAATTCCCTAACTCTGATGATAAAGATGCTTTCTGTCCTCTTGGTACAGGGAAGATACTTTCACATGGGAGGTTTATTTCCCACTATCAGGGAGAACAAGAGGTGCAAGAGAGGTGTTTCTTTTTTTTAATATCATTTGTTTCCCACCAGCTATCTCTCAAGTAACTTTAGTTCAAAATAACCAATAAGCCATTGTGACATATATTGGGGCAGGCTACTCTGAGGTCCAGCAGTGACCATTCCTGTGTTTGGGAAGTCCTCTACTTTAAGATGCAGGACCACCTCTTGCTATAAAAGCTGAAAAGGCCAGACACTCATTTTCTTGGAGTCCCTTGCAGCTAGGGTGAGGCCACATGACCTAGACTCTGCCAATCAGATGCTCCTGCCATGGACTTTGAATCCAGAAATCAATAACATCAATGGATATAGGAACTGTGCAGAATCTGCTCTGGGGGCAGGGGTGTTGGTACCTCCATCTCAAGAGGTGGCCACATCAGGGCTTTGAGCAGCGGTGGCAGGGCATCCAAGAGCCCAGACCCAGTGTCCATGGAGCTGGCTATGTGAGCTGTGCCCGACAAGGACAGCCACGGGGTCCACACCAAACTAGTTCCGTAGTGTGGTTTGAAGCATCCTCCTTGGCATCACGTGTCTGAGCCTGGTTTCCTTCTAGAAACTCCAGCGACTACCTGATTCCCTTTTCTGCTTAAACCAACAAGGTCACATTCTGCTGCTTGCGGCTCAGCTCTGTATGGCTGTAGGGTACTTACTCGTGGCCACCCAACACTCTTGCACTTTTCATGCAGTTGCTTCTAGGTGAGTGCTCAAAGGACCCCTCCCCCCCGACACACACACACAAAGAGCTGTGAAATCACAGAGGCTGTAGAGTTGCCACCAATTACACGTATGCCAGAGACTCTGTGACTTTGTGAATGATAATGAGGGAGTATCTCCAAAGAACCTGGAAGAATGGGTAGGATTTTTTTAAGTTGTTGCTGGTTTTTGTTTTTTTTTTTTAATTGGAGTATAACACACACACACACACAAACTGGGCAAATTGTGCAACCTGCATGAAAATGAAGGAATAAAGAATTACCAGCACCCCGGCAGTCTCCCTTTTCCTCCTCCTCTTCTGCACACCTCCCACAAAGAGCACCCACTACCCTGACTTCTACCACCACAGAATAACAGAAGTAGAATTATAGTGTAAAGTCTTGATTCTGGCTTTTTTTGCACAACATGGTATTTGTAACATCTGTTCCTATGGTCACCTGTAGTTGAAGACCTTTCGTTCTCATTGTGGTAGCATTTCATTGTGTGACTATAACTACGTGTTATTTATCCATTCTACTGTTTGATGTACCTTGTGAGTTGTTTCCAGTTTGGGTCTGTAACATGCAGTACTGCCATAAACATTTTGGTGGTCATCTGTATATTTCTGTTGGGAATATTTCTAGTAGAGTAATTGCTGGATAATAAGGTATGTGTATATTTAGCCTTTGTCAAGAGTACCAAATCATTTTCCAAGGATTTGCACTAATTTATAGTGAGATATGAGAGTTTCAGTGTCTCTACATGTTTCAATAACACTAAGATATTCTCAGGCTCTTTCATTTCACTTATTCTCATGTATGTCCAGTGGTCTGTCATTATGGTTTTTATTTTGTATTTCCTGATAATGAATGGAACTGACCACTTTTTCATATGTTTATTGGTCATTTCGATTTCATTAGGTTTCATCTTTTATGAAGGTAACTTTCCATTCATCTGTCCATCCTTTGTATTTGGTTGTTTCCTTTTTTGTTATGGACTTGTATTCTGGATATAATCCTCTGTTATTCTGTGGCTTGCCTTTAAAAAAAAATAACAGCTTTATTGAGATATAAATTACGTGTCATCAAATTCACTCCTTTAAAGTACGCAGTTCAGGGGTTTTAGTATATTCACAAAGTTGTGCAGGCATCCCCACTATCCAGTTCCAGAAAAATGTTCAGGTCACTTGTTCCTTCTCTCTCGCTCACATTCATAAGTGCACACCAGGCGTTGCAGATACGATGATGAACAAGACAAATATGGTCCCTCAAACAATTAAACAAACAACTACAATAGAGAACAATTGTTATTCTGATAGAAGGAAGTTCAGGGCGTTATGTGAGCTTCTTGTTGGGTCATCGAGCTCAACCCCACGGTTGGTACGTCGTCGGGAAGCAGGGTCCTTGGAAGAAACAACATCTATAGTAAGAGAGAAAGATTGAGCAGGAGGGAGCAGGAGAGGAGTGGGAGGAGAGGAAGAGAGATAAAGAAGACAGCCCTGCAGGAGAGAAAAGCTTCAGCTGAGCAGATGTTGAAGGAAGCAGTGGGAGATGGGTGAGGAAAAGGGAAGAGAGGCTCCAGGATGAAAGATCTTTAGTGTCTCGCTATTTTAAAGGCAGTGGGAGCCACAGAAGGTGCTGGAACATGGGGGTGACAGGATCGGTTCTGTGCCTTAAGGAGATTAATACTGCTAGAAGTGCAGGATGGATTGGTGTGGGAGAGCCCGGAGGCTGGGAGAACAATTTAGAGTCTATTGCAAGAAGTAACAGGAGCATCTGTGAATCTGTTAATTTTAAAATGCCTTTTCTAAATAGCCCTCTAATTGTGAAGTTTTGTTCTTTTTCCTTTTTTAAGTAGCTCTTGGTGGGTGTGCAGTAACCCAACAAAAATGTCTCCAGGAATCGACTCGAGCCCACTGGATGGGAGCACACAGCGGGGCATTGTGTGGGTTCTGTAGCCCTTTGTCCCAGGACACCCATTCCCTGCACAGAAAATTTCCTGGCAAAAAAAGCAAACTGCTGTGGTTCAGCAGATACTACTGTCCCAGACTGACGGCCCACATTTGGAAGAAGCAGGTAAAAACAAGAATGACCTTCAGGTCCCCAGTGACATGAAATCCTCTGTCTGATTCCAACACAGGTATTAGCAGAGAGGGATCCTTCCCGGCTAACACTCAGTCTCTTGAATGAATTTTACCTGGGCCCCGATGCTCTTAAAGTATGCTGCAGTGCCTTCACTGATCTCAGAGAAACACAGCAAAATTTATTCATTTTATGAATGTATGCATATCCAATTTATTCATTCTTTCCAGCCTTCTAGTTCTTGCCTTAGGAAGCTTATGGAGTAAAAGAGATTTAAAAAACATTCATGTCTGAGTATTCATAACCTTGAATGGAAGAACCTGTGAATTGGGCAGTTTGCTCTGCGTAATAAAGAACAAGGGTTTGGGGGGTATAGCTCAGCGGTAGAGCACACGCTTAGCATGCTCGAGGTCCTGGGTTCAATCCCCAGTACCTCCACTTAAAAAAATAAAGGATAAAGAACAGGAGGGGAGAAGAGGGTGATGTTGGTTTGGTTTTGTTCTGTGCTTTTGCTTCTCCCTGCCTGACCCCTAGCAAAGATAGTTCTCCCAATTTCTCCAATTCCTAGCGCGCTTTGACCGTATAGACCCCTTCTTAGTTCATGTTTTCCACTTTACCCTGAATCCCCACTCCTACTTTTCTTCTCCCCTGTAGACACTCCTTTTAATATATTTAATTTTGTCTCATTGAAAACAAACAAGTGAAAACTTTCCATTGACCATACAGGCCCCTTCAGGGACTAGGTCACCTCTGCTTTCTTGCAAGCAAAATTCCTCAAAAGTGCTGTCTGGGGAACAGTCCTGGGAAGAGTCTTGGGACCAGTGTGGATGGGGACAGAATAGAATGGAGGAGGGACCACAGAAATGGACAGAGGGCAGGAGTGGAATAAAGCAGACCCCACATAGGTATAAAGTTAAAGATGGGTGGAGTCACTGTCTCTGTCACTCTGGTCAGCTCGATGTCCAGGGGCCTGGGGGCCCCCACTGGGTGACTGTGGGGACTGCAGTGCCACCTGAGGGCTGCTCGTGGCCAGACACCAGGGTCATGGAGAACTGCATGAAGACCTACATGAGGACTTCTATGGTCACAGTCACAAGAAGGCACTCCAAGTGGACTTCCACCAAGGACAGTCATGCTTATGCCCATGGCCACACTCACAGGAGCATCTGGCATGGGCACATCCACGGTCATGACCATGGACATTCACATGAGGATTTGCATCAAGGCCATAGCCATGGCCACTGCCATGACAGCCCCTCCCACAGAGGATGAGGACATGACCATGAGCACAGCCTATGCTCTGGGACCACAGTGCCAGTCTCTGCAGCTCCATTT